TCGGGCTGCCAACCTCAAGGTCAGCAGTTCGAAACTACCAGTGGTTCCATGGGAGAAAGATGAGGTGTTCTGCTCCCATAAAGATTTATAGCCTCGGGAACCCTGTGCAGGGTCACTGAGTCAGAACTGACTCCACGGTCCTTAACAATAACAACAACAACATCCATAAACGAAGGTCCTGTTCATCAAATTGTAGCAATTTAGGTTTGCTTCTTATATCAAACTTCTTTATCTTTATCTGGTCAATTTCTGGTCAGCTAGCCACCAAACTAGGTCACATGGCTACTATCTGCAAGTGTGGGAGTTCTCCCACGCCTCCTCCCTCTTTCAACCTGCTGTCTGCTTCACTCTCAGCTTTAGTGCCTAGTGGCTAAATTAGTGGCCATGGGCTCGGAAGTTCACACGTCTCCCTAAACTTCCAACCAGCCAACCCTTCCTCTTCTCTCTCTCTTCTCAAGGTCAACAGGTGTCTATGGAACATGGGCAAACATTGGTGAAGAAGAGCTCTCAGGATTTTCTGTACCTTATGGAGGTTGGGGATGCATTTTGGGGGAGAGACTGAAAAGACACTAAGCGGCCAAATCAGTGTCTCCAAAACTTATTTGAGTGACAGGAAGGGAAAGAGTCTGTTTGGGGAGATCCCGGGCTCCCCAAAGTAGTCACTGAAGTTCTAAAAATATCTTAGTAAACTTGTGCCTGTTTTGGAGTTAGTGAAGGGAAGGGATTTGTGATATGATGACAAAGCATGTGCTCAGCAGGGAAGGAGGGAGGGTGCCCCTGGAGAGTAACCCCGGCATTACAGACACTTCACTTGACTCTGGATGTATGAGAGTTCTACTGCATTCATGTCTTCACACAATTCCCAGTTGAAGAGCTGAGAGGACCTCAATCTCTGGATTTGGAGAATCGGAGAAACCTACCCTCAGTCTCCTGGGTTGGGTTCAGAGAATCCAGTGAATTCCCCACATTCCATCATGGACAAGACAACTCCTCTCCCCCTTCAATCCTCCAACTCAGAGAATTGGAGGAACCTGCCCCCCAGTCTCTGGGGCTGGAGAGCCAAGAGGTTTCCCATAATCTTCCGGGATCCAAGAGCTGAAGAAAAATAACCACACAGTCTCTGGGGCTGTGGAACTGAAAGAACTCTCTCTTCGCTCTCTAGTTCAGAGAGTTGAGGGAAACTCCGTCATACAATTTCAGTGGTTAGCGACCCGAAAGAACTCCCACCCACAATTTCTTGGGTTGTAGAATAGAGGGAACTCTCTCTTCAATCTCTAGTTCCGAGAGCCGAGGAAAGCCCCTCATAGAGCTTCTGGGGCTGGAGAGCTGAAGGAACCCACACACAATCTTTGTTGTCATAAAACCAAGGAAATGCTCCATGCAGTCTTCAAGTCAGAGAGCTGAAAGAACTCCAATACACAACACCCTGGGACCGAGAGCTGAGGGATCCCACACATACACAGTCTCTGGGGTGGGAGAATTGCACAAACTCTCCCCTCAGTGTCTGGATCAGAGACCTGTGGGAATCCAACATATAGTATCTGCGGTCAGAGAGTGGAGAACAATCTCTGGCTCAGTGAGTGAAGGAACCCCACAACCCTACAGTCTCTGGGTCAGACAGCAGAAGTTGTTAGGTGCTGTAGAGTCGGTGGTGACTCATAGAGACTCTATGCCCAACAGAATGAAATACTGCCCAGAGAGCTGAGGGACTTCCCTGACACAATCTCTGGGGTTTGAGAAGAGAGGGAAGTCTCCCTGAAACCTCTGGGTCAGAGAGTTGAGGGAGCACCTTTCGTCCCCCTCAATTTTTGGGTTCAGAGAGCCAAGAGAACCCCACTCTTCCCTGTAACCTCCAGGAGGCAGACAGCTAAGGGAACTACCCTCCATCTTTAGAATCCAAGGGACTCCCCCAACCAGTAATGTCTGAGGTCTAAGGTCCAAGACAACCCCCTTCTCCCTCAGTCTCCAGTACCATCAGAGAGCCAAGGGAACTACCTCCGCTCCCTGCCACAATCTTTATCTGAGAACTGAGAACTGTGTTCACACACACACTCTCTCTCTCTCTCTCTCTCTCTCTCTCTCCTCAATCAGAGAGCCAAGGGAATCCCTTCAGTCTCCAAGTTGGCATACCCAGGGAATGCCTCTTTGCTCCCCACAATCTTTGAGGCTGTAGAGCTGAGGCCCAATCTTTGGCTAGGAGGAGCTGATGATGGTAGCCTCCCATACAATCTGTGGGTTAGGAGAGGCGTGGGACCAAAGCCCGGGATCCTCTGCTTCACCCCTGCACATTCTTAGGAAAATCAAGGAAAACCAGGAAAAGCCTCAGAGAAAGTGGGGGAAAAAGTCTCTGCCAATTGAGTTCAAAGTAGTTCTTTACCATGCTATGATCCTCAGCTGGTCAGCTAGGTTATGTGGGAGCCCAGACTCAGCACTGGGGAAACCCGCTACCCTCCACCAAGAAGGGACCCAAACAATGTGAAGAACTGGCCTGCAGCCCTGAACGAAGTCAAGATGTCCAGAGGGCAGTCAGCTGCACCTCCCCCGAGTCCTGGCCCTTTTCACTCTCAGATAAAAACAGTGCAGACTTGGTAAACAGTTATTGGAAAGAATTATGGCCAAGAACGGCATGGGACGATTACAATAAGAGGGGAATTTCAACCATATCATCTGCAAGGGTCTCATCGACAGCCCCAAGGGACTTCCTGTGTGTGTGTGCAAATGGCCTACACATTTTCCACGCAGTGCGATTTAATGTTTTTATGAAAGTATTTGCTGTCAAGTTGTTCCATTTGTTTGTCTGTGTCTGCATCTAAGATGCAAGCTCCTAGTCAGCAGAGACTGTGGCTTTCATTCAAGTATTGTACCTTTTGGGGTTCATAGCACACCACCAGCTCATGTGTTTCCAATTGTTTTCCCTGCTTTTCACCATTCCATGCAATTGCACAAGTTTTTCTTTTGTGTTATTGTGAGCTGCTGTCAAGTTAGTCCCTGGCTCATGGCAACTCTGTGAACTTCAGGATCAGACCATGGTGCTTCGTAAGGCTTTCAGTGGCTGAGTTCTGATGTAGATTTCCAGGCTTTTCTTCCTAGTTTGAGTCAGGAAACTCGGTTGCAATCTGCTGGCAACACTGGCAGATGGGTGACAGCTGTGTATGGCAATCTGGCATTCTACCACTGAACCAGCATGGCCCATTTCTACTATGCTGTTAAGTGCCCTCAAGTCAGTTCCCAGATACCCACCCTGGATAGGGTTTTAGAGGCTATAACGCTTCTGAAAGGCTGCCTGTGGCCTAGCAGCACACGCGCTCATCCCTTCCAGGAGGCCTTGCTGGGAAGAGTCCTACAGAGGGAAGTGGGTGCCCAGGAACTGGTGTCTGAGGTGAGGGCTGAGTGTCTCCAGGGCTCATGCTGCCCAGTTGCCCAGGCTGTGGCAGTCCTCTGTCCCCTGGCAGCCACTGTTGAGTGGCCACACACAAAGGGGCAGGTGGGGCCAGAGCAAACAGGTGGGGCTGTGGGGACACAGCGTAATCTCTGGCAGCAAGAACCACCCTCACCCTTAACCCGGAGCTTCCTACCTGGTCCCAAGGACTTGGCAGGCCAGGGCACAGGACAGCTTCCTCCACCTCTCCACCACTGACCAAGGAAGCCTGGTCTGTCTCACTTGGTCCTGAGTGGTCCCTCAGTGGCAGTTGAACCCTGGCAGCCCCCCAGCCCCACCCCACGGCCCACAACAGAGCTGAGTCAGCAGAAACACTCCACGAAATTTATTGAAAAGGAACATTGAACACGGCATCGTCAATGAAACTGAGCTACAAACAGAAGTAGAGGTGGTGCCGCAAGCAGTCCCCACCGGACCCTGCCCGATCCATCCTTCCTTCAGGTGGTCACTCTCGGGGTGAGGGTGGCCACTCTTGCATCCATCTATCTTTCCCACTGTCTTCCAGGACTGGGCTGGGGTCTCTGGGAGGAACTGGTCAGATAAGAATTCATACCTCCACAACAACGCCTAACTGTTGGCCGTGATTTATGGGGAGATAGGAAGTGCTTCCCAGAGTAGGAAGCAGTTCACCAAAGGTGTACTGAAGGGTCTCCTTCTTAGAAGACCCAGACAGCTGGTCCCTGGGTGATCCCTGCCTCCCCCTAGTGTCTTCCAAACCGTAGTAGTGAGGACATTGAGGGTCTGGTTGGCCAGGTGAGTCCCTGGTCCTCACCTGTTTGCTCCCATCTCCTTTGGCCCTGAACAAACACAAGAACATCCCCAACTTCCCTCACCCCCCTCATCTCCCTCCTCCGGCCCAAACTTCTCTTCCTCCTAGTTCTCCGATCTCCTCTCTTCCTCCTATGATCTCTATTCCCCCTCATCCTCCTGCCAAAGTGGCCCTCACACCCACTGGATCAAAACCAGCTTCAGGTGGGGCCGGGGTGCCTGCTGCTCTTGGGGTCGCAGGCCAGAGTGCTGCCTTCTTGGGGTTCCCTGTGGGCAGTGTGGATGATCCTTAAGACTGGCTGGACCCTGTGGCCTCCCCTCCAGGACAGCTCCTCACTCTCCTCAGCTTTGACTACTCCTGGCAAGGGTGGATCCACCTCGGGCTGGGATGGCCCTGAGGAAGGCTCCTCCATGACTCTCATGACCTGGGGGTTACTGGTGGTCCGCAGCTCAGAGTCTACAGTGGGAGTGGTGGGGGGTGCCCTCAAGGGGCCAGGTACCAATTCTGAGTCCCCAGCCACACCTTCTTCAGCTTCTACGTCAGACTCCTCATACATGAACCTGACCCCCCACCTGCTGGGAGGTCTTCGACCCCTCTTTCTCCTCTGGGCCCTGCTCCACGGCCTCCAGTAATCACCTGCAGACTGGGCAGCGGAGTCCCGGGATCCTGCTGGTGCTGGGCCTGGGGGCTGGGTCCCGGCTCCCCTGCCATTCTCTGCTGACTGCCTAGGCTCCCCATTCTCCCAGGAGCTCCCACTAGGAGGGGTGCCAGGGCCTTGTGAGCCTATGCTATTTAGGGCTCGGGGTGGCTCACTGCCCCAGCCCCTACCCCGTTTCCCGACTCCTGTATGGCACCTGGCTGCATCTTCTTCTCTAGAAGCTCAACCTTGAGATCCCCGGCCTGGCTAGCACTGTTAGAAGAGCATGGCAGGCGCTTACGCTTCACTGACTGGGTAACCCCCCCTCCCTGCACGGTCTGGGTGCTACTCTCCCAGAAAGACCCTGCTTGCATGGGCTCCTGGGGGACAGGAGCAGGGACCTGGACAGGAGCAGGGACCTGCACTGACGCCTGTCTGCTAACACCTCTCCGGCCCCTTCCTCCTTGCTTAGGTTTCTCCTGGGTCACTGCCAGGGTAGTCTCCCATTCTTCTTCGTCGCGAATGATCTTCATGAGCTCTAGGAAGGTGGGGGCACAGCAGTGCTGGTCCAGGGTCTCCAGCTGGGCTCGGAGTGAAGTGGTCATGGAAGCTTTAACCAGGATGTGCTTGAGACGGATCATGTCCGTGCTGCGCGGGGAGATGGGGCTGTGCTGCACAGCCTTCTGAAGCAGCGGCTCGAAGCGGAGCAGAAAATCAGATATTTTCTCCCCTGCCATCTGGATGGACTGCAGGAAGCGGAACTGAGAGGTGTGGCCATCCTCCCTAGGGCCGAAGATCTGCTTCAGGGCATCCAGACAATCAGCCACCGACATGGCCTCGTTGTTGGCCCGCAGCACCCGCATGATGGACAGAGCCGGGCCGTGCAGGCTTTCCAGCAGCCGCCTCCGCTTCTCTATCTCGGACACCTGCCACAGCTGCATCATCTCGGTCGTCTGCTCCAGCCAGACTTCAAAGGTCTCCTCGCCGGGCACAGGGATCTTGTTGCCTGAAAAGACTTTCAATTTACGGTACCACATGCTTTCCTTCATGAGCGGAAAAGCCGGTGCTGCCACTGGGCCTGAGGCCTCGGGCTCTGGTGCTGCCACTGGGCCTGAGGCCTCAGGCTCCAGGGCAGCAGCCTCTGAGATACGGCACCCTAGGGTCTTGGCCGCATCCACCGTTCGCCGACCTTCATCTCGCAGGAAGAAGTTCAGTCGATTGACAAACTCGTCGTCGGAGTTGCGGGGTGTCATCACCACCTCCCAGAAGCCCCCTCTGCCTGGGATGTGACTGGGCATCACCGCGTAGTCGACAGGCTGCAACAGCTCCACAAAGACAGCCTTAGCATTATTCTCCCTCAGGAACATTCGGCCCAGCACCCTGTAGGAGCACACGCTGTACAAGCCGGCCTTAACTGTCTGCACAATCTCCACCTCATCACACTCAATGGGGATCCCCACAATCAGTACGGCCTTTCTGGGGTCCATATCCATCCCCTTGCACCAATCTTTCAACAGGTTCATAGCCATGGCTCCCTTGGTCCAGAGAATGACCTAAGACCAGGGCTCAACCTGTGAAAACAAGCAGGTGAGAGCTTCGTTAACCCCAGGGGCGCTTAGGATCCTTTCACAGAGGGGTGGGTGTGAGGGGGTCTCCCCAGGCCGAACTCCCCGCACCCACCCTGCTGCACCTGTGGCCCTCTAACCTTCTCCTGCTGTGGATTTCTCCTCGAAGTCTGGGAACTATGCTGCACACTGCAGGAACCTGTGGTGGGAAGACCAAGGTCAGTCAGGAGGCAGGAGATGAACTGGGTGGGGGGGGGGCGGTGTGTGTGCCCAGAACACCCAGGCTCCCCCGCAGCAAATGCCTGACAACTAAGAAGACGGCTGGAGCTCTGCATAATGCAATGAGGTCGGTGGGTGTGGAGAGCGGGTGGCAAGCTGCAGTGTTACCATGGATAGAGACAACAGCATGGACTAGGGGCTTCTATTGCAGAGAGGTGTCATGTGGGTGGGTGAGGTTAAGACCCTTGAGGGGTAACAGGTGATGTCATGGGCCTTGACCCAATGAAGCATCCAGGCAGCAAGGGTGTGGGGGAGGTGGCCAATGAGGAGGGAGTGTTAACAAAAACAAGAGCGTTTTGTTTCAAATTGTGTGCTGGCTGAGATGGTGGCTGGGACAGACAGCTGGCCCCCTCACGGAGATCCTCCCAATGGCAGCCATTCACCTGACACCGAGTCACGGAGCACACCAGATGAGTGCCTGGGCACCACAAGGTCCAAGTCAGTCAATTCCTGGCTTGGGGGGCGGTGTGTGTGTGTGTGTGTGTGTGTGAGTTTGGCTGCACTGTATCTGTTGGAGGCAAGAAAGGGGCTGTGTCATGGCTATGCGACCCTGGTGGTGCAAATGATTGGTGGTTTGAGTCTGCCCAGAGGTGTGTTGAAGAAAGACCTGGCAATCCACTTTTGACAAAGCAGCCATTGAAGCTCAGTTCTACTCTGACCACAGGGAGGGGTAAGGAACATCTCAACTCAGTAGTCACTTTGTGTGTGTGTGTGTGTGCACCCACAGAGACCAGGAATATGGGGATATTAAAATATGCTCAACTGGGTGCTGCTGCGAAGGCAGAGGTGGCGAGGTGGCTACCCCACTCAGTGCCGCCCCCTCCCTCATGGAGACCCTCCCAATTGCAGCCACTCAGCAGGCTCTGAGTCAGCGAGTACACCAAGTGGGTCTCAGTCATGCAGTTCCTGGCCCAGAGGCACGGGATCTGTCCCAAGCAAGAGAGGGATCGTGTCATACAACGCGAAGTGCCGTCAAGTCGATTCCAACTCATAGAGACCTGTATAGGGTTTCCGAGACGCGGCTGGTGAGCTTGCAACGCCGGCATCGCGGTTCTAACATTGAAATCCAGCGTATTAAGCCACGGCGCCGCATCAGTCACGGCTACGCGCCCCCCACATCCCCACCCTTCTCAAACCCACCCCCATACCTTCTTATCCCTAACGTACTGGTTACGAATCGGCCTGCGAACCTTAAGGTCAGCAGTTCGAAACTACCAGCTGTTCCGCAGGAGAAAGATGAGGCTTTCTGCTCCCGTAAAGGTTTACAGCCTCGGAACCCCTGTACAGGGTCGCTATGGGTCGGAACCGACTCACGGCATATAACGATAACATTCCTCTTGCTGCCCAACCTCCTTATATCTGCCCCCCAGCCTCTCTCCCTACTCCAATAGCTGTCCCCCCACGTCCTCGCACCCCAGTGCCCCCCCAACAGCCTTAACCCCCGTGTTCCAGCCTGTGCTCCCCCACCCCTCTCCGATCAACACAATCCACGGATGGAGGGCCAAGGGCTCTTCTGTCATTTGCAGAGTTGTTGTTGTTAAGCGCCGCCGTCGAGTCGGTTACGACTCACAACGGTTTCCGAGGAGCCGAGGGCTCAAACCACAAACCACCCTTGCGATCTAGTGGTTTAGCTCCGAGCGCCGCACCAGAAATACGGTGCAAAATAAGTATGTTACAGAGCCAGGCCGCCCCTTACGGCAAAGAGCCCTCGGGGTGAGGCGCATGAGGGGCTACCCGGTACCCCAAGTCCTGCTCGGGACGCCAGGGCCCCGCGCCTTACCCGCCAGCAGAGAAGCCTCTGAAGCAGAGCACCGGATCAGCCACCAAGAGCCCGCCTTCGCGCTAGCATATATATATACATATACAGGAGATCCCCCGCGGTTCTGCACGCAGCACGTTTGCGGCTGCGCACTAGGCGCCCCGGTACTGAGCGCCCGCGAGCATCCTCGTGCCCAGAGCGCCAACAAGCCAGGTGCCCGCCTGCCCAGCAGCCTTTGCGGTCCAGTACTACTACATGCCCGTGTCCCATTGGCCAGTAGCCGTCTGACAGTCACTCTCCGCCCTCCTCATTTCAATATTCCAAGTAGTTATTGCAGTGCCTTGTGCGAAGCTTTAGCTGGGGGATGGGCCATCGCTCTGATTTTCTTTCGATTCCGCAGGACAACTGCTAGGATACCCACAGTACCAAACATCTTCAAATCTGCCCATCAGCTACCCAGTTCCTGATGACAGGGCTACATTTTACCCACTGGGTGCACCCTTGCCTTCCCGCCCTTTCTCAGAAGGGGACTAGGACAGGAGCTTAGGCTAGCGCCTGGGTCAAAGGCGTTATTCAGTAAAGAACACCTTTAATGTGACATCACCGCCCCCCACCCATTACAATCTTATTAAAATGCAGCTTCAGTCAGGTGGAAACGTTGGTTTGGGCTGCTAACCACAAAGTCAATGGTTAAAACCTACCAGTCACTCGGTGGGAGAAAGCCGTGTCAGTGTGCTTCTGTAGAGGTTTGTTGTCGTTAAGTACCGTGGAGTCGGTTCCGACACATAGTGACCCTGCACTGGATTTCCTAGGCTGTAAATCTTTACGGGGGGAGCAGAACGTCTCATCTTTCTCCCGCGGAACCGCTGGTAGTTTCGAACTGCCGACCTTGAGGTTAGCAGCCCGATTGGTAACTACTACCCTACCAGAGCTCCCTGGAAACCCTATGTTAAGTTAAGTGCCGTGGAGTCGGTTCCGACCCATAGAGACCCTGTACAGGGTTTCCGAGGCTGTAAATCTTTACGGGAGTAGAAAGCCTGATCTTTCTCCCGCTATTCTGCCCTACTGGGTCACTAGGATTTGACTTGGCTGCAACGGGTTTGGGTTTCTTGGTTTCGGAATCAGGAGGTGAGGGCGGGCTGCAATTCTCGAGTTTCCGGAAAGCTCGGTGATGACCACGTGGAAGATTCCCAGTCACACTTTGAGCACCAGAGCTCTGAAAGCCGTTACTATTTCCCGGGATAGAAGTGGTGAGTCCTTTTGATGGTATCTTCGATTTTCTTTGCTTTGTTTGGCATATAAAACAGCAGGCTTTTTTATAACTTATTTTTCAAATGAAGCAAGAAAACAAAATTTGAAATTCAAGATCACTGATGGAGATCTTTGCAGGTATCACCGCAGTCCTCATTAAGTGTGGGTGCTTCCTAAGTCTGGAGACATGAATCACTTACTGAGAGGATGTTCTGTTCGTTTTCCCTTCCATGCAAAGCAAACTCCATTATGTCATGCCTTCCAAAGGGGACAGTTCCACCCAGTGTGGCTTCTTGAAGTTGCTGTCCAGCAGCCTGGAGCTTGAACAGGGATGTTGGGGCTCCAACTCACCTTGGGGCTCCTGAGCACTGTTCCTCATTTTCTCTTCAGGAGGCATGACCCCATTATTAGGGTTTCCATTAGAAAATTGAGGTTCAATGCTAATTGCACTGTTGCATAAGCACTGGACTGCTAACTGCAAGTTTGCTAGTTCATACTCACCAGCGACTCCTCAGAAACTCTATACAGGGTCACTATGAGTTGGAAACAGTTCGATGGCCCACAACAACAACTGAGGGACCCTAACTTACAATGAATTGTGTCTGTCTCAAGCATATAATCTGATGAGTTCTGATAAATGCATTCATCCTTGTAACCATGGCCCCAATTAACAGAGTGTATGATTTCATTGACATAAAACACTTTGGGGTTGAAGGGGGGCAGGAAGGAGGGGTTAAAAAAGAGCAGGAGGAGTGTTTTGGGGGTGATAGATACCAAAATCCACTGCCATCGAGTTGACTCTGACTCATGACAGCCCCTATGGGGCAGAGTGGGACTACTTCTGAGATTTTGCCACTCTTTCCGGAGCAGGCAGCCTCGAATTTCTCCTGCCAAGTGCTTGGTGGCTTACAACCACCATCCTTGCTTGTGGCGATGGTTTCTTGGATGCATATGTGTCCAAATGGATCTGACTGTTCACTGTCAATGTATGCAGCTTGTGGTGGGTCGACTCTACTCCAATATAAAGCAGTTAAGAACCTGACAGCGAGAAAAATATTCACAGAAAGTGGCCTCATATCTGGGGGCACCTTCTTGAGCATTGTGGGTGCACAAGGCATCATGGGTGGAGGAAGCATGCCAGTGACATGTGCCGAGGGCAGCACACAGAAGGGTTGGTTCCCAGGCAAGAGGCAGGACAGAGCCAGCGTTCTGGGTACACTCAGATGAAGAGGCACATACGAAGGCATTGAAACCCAGTTCTACATTAAACACACAGTTCCCATTCAAAGCAGCAGCCTCACCCCTGGGTCTAGACCCAAGAGAATTGACAGCAGGGATGCTAACAGAGACCACCACCACCCCGCCCCGGTCCACTACAGCACACTTCACAGCAACCAAAAGTTGACCCTAGTGCCCACCGACATAGGAGGGATCCGCACTGTATGGTCCTCACGGACCATGGAACGTTGGAAAGGGAAGTGCAGGCCTGAGAGACAGGCCACCACGTGGTGGGGCCAGGGGATGGGGTGGGGTGGGGTTAGCAAAAGACATGCTGCCTAGTGGAAGAGGCTGGCCCCTGGGGGCTCAGCGGGGACGGAGGGAGCGACAAGTCAGTGTAGAGCAGGTGGCGTCTCGGAGTGGGCCCCGGGGTCCGGAGTGGCCACCAGGGGCACTGGCTTTCTGCATGGGTGTGAGAACATTGGGAATGGATCGTGGTCGTGGGGTTATGACACGGCAGCTGGACTAAGTGCCGATGCACTGTGCGCTGAAATGCTGACTTACACACACACACACACCCCAGAACACGGCCCACAACAGCTCACAGTGACAGTGATGATGGGCGGAGCACAACAGTGGGTGTAAGACAGTCTCGGGTGGAGGTGCTCGAATTCTCATTTGGCAATTGGAGGCATTTTGTTGTTGCTATTCTAGTAGCATAGTGGTTAGGAGTCTGGCTCCTAACCTCAAGGTCAGCAGTTTGAAAATACCAGCGGTTCCGCTGACCAAAAAACGAGGCTTTCTGCTCCGGTAAAAATGTACAGCCTCGGAAACCCTATACACACGATCGCTATGCGTTGGAACCCACCCCACGGCACACCACTACCCACCCAGTTAGCTGACATTGAGTGGTACAGTGACACCCGATCTTGCTTCCTTGTCATGCCCATTAAGTGCAAGAGCCCACTGTGATAGCCATTCCTCTCCGCACTATGTTGTTGTTGTTGTTAAGTGCCGTCGAGTCGGTTCCAACCCATAGCGACCCTGTTCAGGGTTTCCGAGGGTGTAAATCTTTGTGGGAGTAGAAAGCCTGATTTTTCTCCCATGGAGCAGCTGGTAGTTTCGAACCGCTGACCTTAAGGTTCGCAGCCCGATTTGTAACCACTACGCTACCAGAGCTCCCTTCTCCGCACTATAGTGAACAATGTTCTGTTGTGATCTACAGGGTTCCAGTGAGTAACTTTTGGAAGTGGATTGCCAATCCTTTCTTCACTCTAGAAGCTCTGCTGAACTCTGCCCACTATGGTGAGCCTGCATGTCCACACACAGGCCACCACAGGCCACCACATTGATAGACATGGCAGGGAAGGGTGTTGTAGGCTTGTTGTGTGATAGAGGGACAGCCATTTACTGTGGGTGGTGCAGAAGCCGCTCCTGGTTATGGACATGGATGGAGGCAGCTCCTATGAGGGCAGAGGCCATGGCATGAAGGTGACCCGGCACAGGCAGAGGACTAGGTGCCAGAGGACCTGAATAAGCAGGATGTCAAGAGGCAGAGCAGAGTCTGTGTTGGTTCTGTGGTGCCAAGCAACATGGAACAGTGTTTAAAGCCCAGCACATCTCAAATGGAAGGTGGGGAAGGGGTGCCAGGCAGGAAAACCCACACACATTATAGGCAGGGAACGGAACGAAACAAAAAACCCATTGCAGACGAGTTGATTGCTACTCATCGCAACCTTAGAGAACAGGGTAAAACTGCCCTGTGAGGTTTCCAAGGCTGGCGTCTTTCGGTTAGCTGTTAAATGCTTAACCACTGTACCACCATGACACCTCCTAAGCAAAACCTAAGGCTATAAAGTCAGCCTGGATCCACGTAAAGGGGTTGAAATCTTAAAGAATCTGTTCTCTGCCCACAATGGGATGGACTCATGAGTCAGTAGGACTGTGCTCCAGAGGGCTTTCTTTTCTTTTGTTGCTGTGAATATACACAGTGAAATAGACACCAGTTGGACTGTTTTTACTGTACCCATTCGCTAGTATTGAGGATATTCTTTGAGTTGTGTGTCCTCACCGTCGTGGACAGACATTCACTGCTCCTGAAGCTTCCTAGTTCATCTTTCCAGCTGCTCTTGTCCCTTGGATTGCATAGAGTTAGTTCTTTTCAAAGAGCCTAACAATCACCATAGATCTTTGTTACTAGATAAGCTCTATTATACTGGGTGGTGTTTGAACATGACAGAACCCCCTTTTTTTTTTTCTGGTCTTTATGTCACACGCTGTTACCAACTGTGAGTCCCCACAGTAGTGGCTTAAGAGCTACGTCTTCACTGGCTGATGTCGGAGGTAGCAAGCCCTCTGCCACCCTTCTCCTAACTATACTCGAGCCAACTCGGTGCCTGAGTTTGGGGTGAGAAGGTATCTAAAGAGATTCCTTGAACACTGTTCCCTGAGGTCCCTGCCCCAGGGTGGAGGGAGTTCTCTGAGGCCCATGTCTTTTATCGGGGGCCTTCCTGGGCACCCTTTTCTGTCCAGGAGATAGATGGCCGCAGATTTCCCCATCAGATTCAAGCACAGTTCAGTAGATCAGTAGAATAATGATTCATCAAGATGCCCACAGCCTTCATGGAGCAGTCCCCCTGGGGGCTGGGTACTAGCGGGGGTACCTCTGACTGGCAAGGACCAGGGTGTGAGCTGGGAGAAGTTGTCATCTATCTTAGTGGCTGGCATAGTAGAGAGAGATTTTAGAGGCTCCGGCCCACTGCCATTACATTAATTCTGACTTGTCACAACCCTTTATGACCAAGGACACAACTGCTCCATAGCTTCGGTATTGGAGCAGACAACTTTATCTTGCCCCTTACAAGCAGCTTTGTTTTTGTTGCTATTGTTGTTAAGGACCGTCGAGTCTGAAAACCTGAATAGGGTTTCCCAGGAGCGGTTGAGGGGTTTAAACTGACTACCTTGAGGTTAGCCACCCAATGCCTAACCCACAGCGTCACCAGGTCATGAAGGGAGGACAGACTGAGAATAAGGTGGCTCTCATTCAGATGCTGACTGTGTTAACCTGGGAGAAGGAGAAGGCAGGTACAAACAGGGGAGGTCAGCACAACCTTATCAGCACAGTACAAGGTGCAGAGGAGCACACGAGGTCAAGGTAACAGAGGTCAGGATGCTTCTCACATAATTCTGCAGCAGCAGTGGCCAACAGGGAGGCGTCCTGACGGACATGCCAGTCGCACAGGTGTCAGGGAGAATGATTCAAGCTGAAGTAGGGCTGGAGGAGGGGGAAGGGCACTTACTGTTTGGCTAGGGTGAGGAAAACGGTTTGGAAATTGCTAGTGAATGCAATTCATGGAGTTGTCTCTGAGCTGTTCATTCGGTGGCAGTGGCACATTTTATGGAATCATTGCTGTGTGTCATATACTTTTCTAGGCCCCCCCCACTTACTGCACATGCCAACTTCCCAGATCTTAATAACCTTGACACGGACCCAGGTAATACCTCAACGTTTATTACCATTGTGCACAGAAGAGTGGGGGAGCAGAAAGAGGGTGTGCCAGCCCGCGTCGGGAGGCCTGCAAAACTCCAGGTCTTATCTAAATTGACATTGTTTCTCAAGATTCTGCATGCCATGCTGGTCCTAAGATTCCCTCCTTGTCCTGGAGCTGGACATTTGTCCTGGAGAAGCAGGGCTTTGGGTGATAACTTCAAGAGAAGAGGCCCTTGTTTTCCAACAGAAAACCTCTTTGTTTCTCCTCACAGTTTACAAAGTGGTACTGGGCAGCCAGCCCAGTCCTTCTGCCCAGTTGGCCAGCCTAGTGTGGGAAGGGAAGGGTGCTAGACCTGGAGAGAGAGGGCACAGGCACTGCGCCAGTCACTCTCCGTGTGTGCCTCAGTGTCTCCTTGTGCACGCTGAATTCTGCTGGTAAAGCTCGGGGACTGCTCGTGGAGGCACACAGACACGGGGCTGGCATCTGAACTGAAAACCCATGAAGCTGTGAGCACTGGTGTGAGGGATAGAAAGCAACAGCGACTTGAAAAGCACACGGACACTTTTTCTACGTGTCTGTTAAATAGGCAAGCTAAGCATTAGCCTACGCACTTAGCCCCCAGGAACCGCCAGGTGTCAAGTCCCCGAGGTCCCCTCAGAGCTGCGGCCCAGTGTGCCATGTGCGCAGAGCCAGCCATTTCCTGGCGGTGGCCAGCTCCACTCACTAGGAAGCCAAGATGGCATCTTGTTGTCTCCTGTGAAGGAGCGTGGGACAGGGTCGTGGGAGTGCAGCGCCTTCGAAACTCCCCAAAGCTACACAGGAACTATCAGAGAAACCATCGTGGACAGAAGCAAATTCAACTGCAAAGCGGGGTGAAATCAACTGGGGTGAAATCAACTGGGGCGAGAGAAGTGAGGGACAGCGGGAACAGCCACGTGTGTCAGGGTCCTCCGTGTCGTCTCAGCCTGGGGACCAAAGAGGAGACATGAGATTGGAAGGGGCTCTGGGCTTCAAACTGGTGCTAACCACTCCCACACCACTGGTAGTGCAGGGCAGGGCCTCGGGGAGGTGGACACGGAACCCCTGGACATAGGAAGCATCCCAAGGGAAGGACACAAGAGACTTCCAAGGGGCACAGGGATACAGGGAGGCAGCCCTCGCCCACAAAGGGAGACCAGGCGCCGGCGCCCACCTAGAAGACCTTCTCGTAGCACTTGCCACAGTGGACGGTTTCCCGGTGGATGAAGATCTGATCCAGGAGGTCGCCCATTGGCTTACTGCAAACCCCACACTGGAAGACATAACAGAGGCGCTCAACACAGTCAAGGCAAAGCTCAGCACAGCATGACTCAGCACAGTCTCAAGTGGTGTGTGGTAACTCGAGTCAGCAGAAGTATAACAAAATGTAACAAGAAACGCCCTGCCCCCACCTGGAAGCTTAGCGCACCTCAGCATGATTCAGCACAATAACCCCAAATCTTCAAGCACACAAACACACAAACAAATCCTCATGTGTGTGAGCCTGGCCAAGTGTTTGCAGCCTCTGCCCTCTGCTGGGAATGGGCATGCTCGAAGGAGCGCCGCTGGGGCTGGGGGCCATGACCGGAGACATCAGGGCCCAAGGAAATGTCCGTACTGGACAGCCCATGGGAGCTGGCGACTGGGGCGCTTGTTGTTGTTGTTAAGTGCCATTGAGTTGGTTCCAACCCACAGCAATCTGTATATGGTTTTCTAGCTGGGTTTTAACCGCCGACTTTCTGACTAGCAGTCCAGTGTTGACCCTACTATGCCTCAGCAGAATAGCCCCTCCTTTCCTGTGAATGAATCAGCGGCCACAGCCGACCACCTGCATCGGACCACCTGTATCGGCTGCGCAGACCCCGGAACTGACAAAGGGGACCATGAAGGGCTCAACTGTGGCTTGTTGCTTCAGTACTGCGAACCTGGACCTGACCCAGGTGATATATCACCGTGGGGAACACAGTCTGCTCTGCGGGAACAGGGGGACCCAAGGGCTGGTGTGATGCATCTGTGACATTTAGAAAAGAGCAAAAACGCGATCACGTGATCCTCATAAAGGGAAGAATTGACCCCCTAACTCAACAAAGACTACCGATGAAATAGGGAACACGTGATGATCTTTTGGGGAGCGGCAGGGCTTACATCTAGGAATCCAAGAGTGAGACCCTTGTCTATAGCCCACTCTGGGACCTCCGCACAAGTTCCAGTCCTTGGCAACCTCCCTTACCCCACCTCACCCCCGTTTCCTTTCCCCCTCACTCCTCTACTGTGCACCCTAACTGTGAGTCCTCTCCCTCCCAAAGCCTCCCAGGGAACTCTGCCTTGAGGACACAGAGCCCTAGATTTCCCTGCAGGGATTCTCACAGTCAAACCCAGCACCACAATTGGCCACCTCATGCCGACCTCAGGTCCCAATTTGGGGCTCTCCTTTGATCCCTCTTTCTCTCCCATACCTCAGCAGCACCTGTCATCTCTGTTTTCCCAAAGTTCCCCAAATCCAGCCACCATTTTACCACCTAGTTCCATGACTGTTCCTCACCTCTAAGCCAGAATTGGGTCTTTCTTGCCACTTCACTGCCCAATCCCTCCTCTGGTGCCGACTGCATTGAGGTAAAATCCCAAATCTCCCACCAAATCCAGCTCCTGCATCTCTGCGACCTCCCCTCCCACCACCGGGCATTCCTGCCCCAGACTCTTGGCCTGGAAGATGGATTTTGTCAATCCCATGGTGCTCCTCATTCTCTGAGCCCCCAGGCCTCCCGTGACATGGATTGAGTAATGCTGTGTCTCCCGACAAGATATCTTCAGGTCCTATCCCCTCACTCAGAATTAGGGGTCTTGAAACTGTTATCACTCAGATTTACATGAGTATCCAATCCCATCTGAGTGGTGTCACATGGAGAGAAGGCACCCTTGTGAAGAGGCATCTGGGGACACCTGGCTGAGACAGGCGAGAAAAAAACCTGTCCCTAGAACCTTCGGATCTGTAGCCCTGCCGACGCCCTCCATTCGGACTTCGGGTGTCCAAAACTGAGAAGAATAGTGTCTGCCAAGCCATCCCATTCAGGGAAAACTGAGACGTTCCTATCTTACCTTAAAGCAGTATTCATGGCAGCTGATGCCCAGATGTTCTAGAGTGATCTTGGGACAGTCTCCAATCTCATGGTTGCAGTACGTACAGAGCCTTCCTCCAGTCGTTCTAAGAGAAAAGAAAAAAACAAAAACAAAAAAAAACCAAGACCCTGGTGGTCAGGTTGGCCCAGGGATTTCTGGGGTGACCACCTGTAAAAGTTTCCCCAGAGCACGGCCTGAAGCTTTGTGCTCTGTCCAGAAACTGGCCATGTCTCTTCAGGCTCCTTCCTGGAGAACTCTGGGGACATCCCCGATAAACAGTCTGCCCACAGGGATCCCTATGGGCCATGACCACACAGGACCAGACCCGTGCCTTGGGGGGAACCCCGTGGGCTCTATCTCTCTCACATCCTTCCTTTCTCCCCCACTCTGCCCTAGACCCTTGGCCTGCCAGCAGCATCCACAGGCCTTCTGGTGTTTTGACAGCCGAGAGGGAGCCCTTCACTGGCAAACGGGCTACTCAGTCTGTAAAGATTATAAAAGGGGACTCCTTTGTCGCTGGGTCCACACACTAAGTGCCACCTGAGTGCTGGTCTTTCTGGGTTTGGTGTGAAGCCACAGTTCTCCATCTGCTTTTGGGTCTCTTCTCATCTGTGACATGTGTTGGTTCAGTTGGATTCTAATAGATGGCCTAAGGCCTCTCCCGCTGGCATAGCCCAAGCGCCCCATGGGAAGCAGGCACACCTGTCCGAGTAGGGAACACTCTCCCGTGGAGGCTGCTTCTCCCTGTCCCACACGTCGTCTCGGCCGCTGACACTGCAGGAAACCAGTGGGGAGAGGAGGTCAGAGGCAGGGAGCCAGAGCACGGCCACTATACTGTGCAGGGAGGGACACTTTCTGAGTAGCTCTGTGAGGAAGGACACAGCTTGGTGTGGCCAGACATCAGGCATCTTCCCAGGCTAATGTCCTATCTGAAACAGGCCTTCGTGTGGCAGGAGCAGATGCCCAAGAACCATGCTGCCCTGTCAGAAGGACTCTGTCACAGGGAGGGAGTTGGGGGCTAGGACAGGAGGATCTTTGTTCCCTAGTTTGTCAGGAGACTGTCTTGGTCAACAGCAGACACTAACTAAATCAAGCTCCAAAGCCACTGTCATTGAGCTAATTCCGACCCAGAGCAACCCTGTGGGACAGAGTAGGGCTGCCCCCCAGGGCTTCTGAGACTAGACACCTCTTACGGGAGCAGACTGCCCCCTCTTTCTCCTGTAGAGCAGCCGGTGGTTCCAAACCACTGACCTTGTGGTTAGCAGCCCAACACTTAACCCACTGGACCCCAAGGGCTCCTTCATCAGACAATGGAGACAGGAGAAAATAAAGAAGGTAACAGTTCCAAATCACAACTGAGCTTGGGTGACTCCGTACGATGGTTGTGTGCCGTGGAGGCGGTTCCGACTCATAGCGACCCTGCATAGGGTTTCTGAGGCTGTAAATCTTTACGGGAGCAGAAATCCTCATCTTTCTCCTGTGAAACAGTAGGTAATTTCGAACTGCTGACCTTGAGGTTAGCAGCCCGATTTGTAACCACTATGCTACCAGAGGGGTGATTTTTTTCTCCTTTTTGTCTCTTCATTCCAAATTTGTTGTTGTTGTTAGGTGTTGTGGAGTCAGTTCCGACTTACAGTGACCCTGTGTAGGGTTTCTGAGGTGGGTTTGAGCTGCCGACACTATAGGTTCGAAGCGACCTTGCGGTCCAGTGCATTATCCTGCAGTACCACACCAGGGCTCCTCAGTCAGTGAGCCCCACTATATGAACTCTGCCGTCCCCACAGGAATGGACTCAGTGGTGTGCATTTCAGAATCAAAACTTACAAATACCAAAAGAAAACAGTGCCGGAGACGGAGGACAAACAGGCTCCCAGCCAGAGGCTTCCCGTGAAAACAGTGCCGGAGACGGAGGACAAACAGGCTCCCAGCCAGAGGCTTCCCGTGAACGAGTGGCCATTTGCACAGGCAGTGCTACCCAGGGGTCAGTAGCCTGCCCAAGAGCCCACTGAGAATAAGGACCAAGCTAGCAGTTTCCCCACGTTCTGGTCTGCACTGAGCTTCAGCTTATTTCTAAGAGGAGAGGATTCCACTGCCTGAGAGAGACAGTGAACTAGCGTCGTGTAAGACAGATGTTTTGACTGAATATAACTTTCTATAGTGGATTCACTTGTCATTAGCTAATGCTGCCATTAGTTGGAACAGAATGGACGCGCCTAGAAGGAGGGAAGATAGACTGACAAGGTTTGGTTACATAACTTGCAAACATTCACAGCTACCACTAAGTGGTCTGACTTGTACTGTGTCTCTAAGCAAAACTGCACTCCATACGGTTTTCAGTGACTGATTTGGGGAAGTAGATTGCCAGGCATTTCATCTGCAGTGTATGGGGTGGACATGAACATCCAACCTCTGGATAAGCAGCTGGGCACAACAACCATTCCTTGCCCCACCCCCATGGACTGCTAGCCTATCTTTTAACCAAGCCTGTGTGTCAGAGCAGAACTGCTCCCGAAGGCTTCTCATTGCTGATTTTGGAATCGGATCACTAAGCTTTTCTTCCAAAGCACTTCTGGGTAAACTAGAACCTCCAAACTTTTGCTTCTCAGCTGGGCGCATGGACCAAGTTGGCCACTGTTGTTGTGAAGTGCCGTCAAGTCGGTTCCGGCCCATAGCGACCCTGTATAGGGTTTCTGAGGACCAGCTGGTGAGCTTGAACCACGACCTTGCAGTTCAAAGTGACTTTGCAGTCTGGTGCATTAACCCACAGCGCTGCACCAGAACTCCAAGTTGACCATGGGGGACTTTCTAGCCACATCTTCCACCCCAAACAAATGGCTGTACTCCAGTCCACCCCAACTTCTGACCACGCCATGAATGTCCGAACAGAAGTACACTCCATAGGGTTTTCAATTCCCGACTTTTTGGAATTAGATTGCCAAGCCTTTCTTCGGCAGTGCTTCAGGGTGGACACAAACATTCAAACTTTTAGTGTCAGCGAGAACTGTACTCCCAAAGCATTCCATGGCTGAGTTTTTAGATCACTAGGCCTTTCTTCCACAGTGCATCTGGGTAAACTAGAACCTCCTATCTGTAGGTTAGTTCGTCAATCAGGAACTCTTACCTCATCTTCCAATAAAGCAACCAGTAGCAATCAAGTTGACTTCTACTCATGGCGACCCCATACATGTTAGGGAGGAACTGTACTCCCAAAGGTTGCTGATGCTTGCTTTTGGACAGTATATTCTGCAACATCTCTGGGTAAACTAGATTATTCAGACTTTCAATTAACAGTTGGCTAACATGAACATTTCTGCCACTTGGGTAATCCTAGCGTCCCATGTGCCAAACAATGAGCGATCATTGATTGAATCAATGGGTTCCTGCCAGGTGTCTCTTCCACAGAACCACCTGGTAAACCAGCTAAAACTTCCTGGCAACACGTGGCCACATAAACGATTTGTACAGCCCAAGTTTTCCTATGCCATTTCCAACTTTCAAACAAGATACCATGGTGTTGACTTTGACTCATAATAACGCCATATATGTCACAGAAGAACTGTGCTCCATAGAGTTTTCGGTGGCTGATTTTTTTTTTTTTTTTTTAAGTAGATTACCAGTCCTTTCTTCTTCAGTGCTTCAGATTAAATAAGAACCTCCAACCTCTAGGTTAGTAGCTGGGCACGTAACCCTATCCTATCTTCCCATTAAAGCAACCAGTAGCCGGTTAGTCAACTTCGACTCCTGGTGTCAGAGAAGAACTGTCCTCCACAGGATTTTCTAAGGTTGATTTATCAGAAGCAAATTGCCAGGTCTTTCTTTTGCAGAACCACTGGGGGAACTAGAATATTCAACACTTCAGTTACCAGTTGGAAAACAGCAACTGTTTCAATCGTACAAGAACTCCTATCCTATCTTCCCACTAATACGTTATCCTGGAGTTGACCTGCAATCATGGCAAAACCAAATGTGTCACACAGAACTGTGCCCCATAGGGTTTTCCATGCCTGCCTTTTTGGAAGTAGATTGCCAGGTCTTACTTGCTCAATGCCTCTAGGTAAACCAGAACCTCTAATCAGAAGCTGGGCACATAAACTGTGTGCACTACCCAGAGACTCAATTCTTAGTCTTCCAATAAAGCAGCCAGTAGCATTAACTCCGCTTCAACTCCTGGTAACTCCTCGTGTTTTAGAGCAGAACTGTGCTCCATGGGGTTTCAAACTGCAGATTTATCAGGAGTAGATTCCCAGGACTTTCTGCCACAGGACTACTATGAAAACTCTGACATCTAACCTTTCAGTAAACAGCTGGCCACATTCACTTTTCCACAACCACTTACACAGCCCAGGGACTCCTAGCCCATATTCCAGGAAATGCACCAGTAGCTATTACATCCACGTCGATTCATGGCGACACTGTGCGTGTCAGAATGGAACCGTGCTCCAAGAGTTGTCAATACCTGATTTTTTTTTTTTAATAAAACGTTTGTCTGGCCCTTCTTCCACAGCACCACTGGGTAAACTGGAAACTCCAACCTTTTGGTTTAACAGGTAGACACATAAACCATTTCCATGACCTAGAAAATTCTGTCCCATCTTCCAGGAAATCAACCAATAACCATTAAGTCAGCGTCAACTTACAGTGACCCCACATGGTTTTCAATGCCTGATATAGCAGCAGTAGATTCCCAGACCTTTCTTCATGGCACCCCTGGTAAAGTAGAATGTCCAGACATTTGGTGAGCAGCATGATACATCAGTCATGTGCACCACATAGGGCCTTCTATCCCACCTTCCATGAACAAACCAGTTGACATCCAGTGGACTTGGACTCTTTGCATCTCCATATGTGTCACAGCAGACCTATGTGTCTCAGGATATGCAATAGCTGATTTGAGGGAGGTGGATCGCCAGGTGTTTCTTCCTCAACACCACGGAGTAACCCAGAACCAAAAGCTTTAGGTTAGCAGCTGAGCACATCAACCATGTTCCCTACCCAGGGGTTCCTATCATTCAACCATTGAGTCGATTTCATTAAATAGCGACCGGATGTGCGTAGAAAAGTGTTGTTCTCCTATTGGTTTCTGGTGTCTGATTTGTTGGAAGCAGATCATCAGGCCTCTTAGGCAGGGCCTCTGCCTAAGCTAGACCCTCTAACTTTGAGCTAAGCAACTAGACACAGAAACATTTGCACGACCCAGGGGCTCCTAGCCCATCTTCCAGAAAACGAACCAGTAGCCTTTGAATCCACATCAACTCTTTGTGTGGTCGACAGCATTTTCAATGGCTAATTAATTCGGAGTAGATTTCTAGGCCTTTCCTCTGCAGTAGCGCTGGGTAAAATGTAACATTCAATCTGGCAGTTAGCAGCTGGGCATAGTAACGATTCCCACCACCTCGGGACTCCTATCCTCCCATTTTCCAATCACTCTGACTCCTGCTGACCCCGTGTGTGTCAGAGCAGAACTGTGCTCCACAGCACTGACAGGGAATGAGTTTGAGTAGAAGATTGCCAGGTCTTTCTTGCACAGCACCACTGGGTAAACTAGAAACGCTAACATTTCGTTAAGCAGCTGGGCACATAAACCATTTCCACCACCCAGAGACTCCTATCCTATTATCCAGAAAACCAACCAGCAACTATTAAGTCTACTTCAACTCCTGCGGACCCCATGCATGGCAGAGGAGAAATGTGCTCCACAGGGTTTTCAATGGCCTTTCAATAGCACTACGATGAAAAATCTGACCTCTAACCTCTTCGTTAGCAGCTGGGCACAT